TCAAGATTCCATTTTTGAACTTTTGAGAAATTAAGTATTTTGATGTCACTGATGATGTTCTCCGTAGGAAATTATCACCTGATGTCTTTAAAGCTCTAGATTCATATTCAGTAGGTTTTGAAAATTAGGTGGGGATAATACTAGAAAATTGTGTGATTCTTCAATTTTTTTGAGCAGTGTATATATGGTGTAATAATTCTGATACATACAATACAGCAAAATCAACAGGCAAATTCTGGGCTAACATTCAAGATACGTGAAAAAAAGTTTTGTCAAAAACCCTGTGGCAAACTTCAGACTGCAAACAGGTCACAATTGCATGGCACATCATCTTAATAAGATTGGCATTCTTCCATCTAGTATATGGCAAATTTGCAATTGGGGCATCATGAATGCAGAGTATCTTCTTATATCCCCAGAACTAGGTAGTCTCAGAAACGTGGTGAGATAAGTAAACTATATTGGAATGCCACAGCTTTCATGAGCTCCTTGTAAAGACTACATCTCTAACGTTCCTTTCCTTGTTGTTTAACTTTTTACGTTTGTTCTCTTGTTCATTTATTCTGATTCTTATTTTATAAATACTTGTTCTTTTTTTATTATTGTTCTTGTGTGATACTTCAGCTGTTTTATATGTTTGGATTGATTTTTCCAATAAAGCCATATATAACAGACAACGGAGTATCTGTAAGATGTAATAATTCCTTTAACCCAATTGCAATAAATATTTGACTCAAAATAAATGCAGATCACAACTTAAGTGAAACTGAATTTGCTACTTACTTCATCAGAACCGTAAATTTGTATAAATATTGCATTATCCTCTTTCTGTTTCCCTCTCCAGCCATTAAAATTCCCTGTTATTAATATCATGCTATCTTATCTGTAAATGAAGTTTTCTAAAAAAAAATAGTTAAAAGCATACTTCAAACGATTTATTGAAATCTTGCATGGTGTAACAGGATAAAGAGTAACAAGTAATGGTAAAAAAAGTTTTTATACATCATATACATGGTTTACAGAGACATATACACAAGAAATGGATAAAAAGAAATTCTGAATGAATATAATATTTGGTGACGATGCACAATTACTCAGCTGAATGAAAAAATATACAGCTTTTCAAGAAAAACTTGTAGGTAAATACAGCATAAATGATTCAATTCCCATCTTGATATTTCTTATGAATCCTTTTTAACTGTCTATATTAATAATATAAATGAAAGGATCATGACTAAAGTTAAGAGATAAATAATAATAAATGTCTGAAAACTAGACATATAAAAATATAAATCTCAGAATTATCCGTATTTTTATTTTAAAAATGTGCTAAATTTACAATAATGAATTACAATGCCAATTAAAAAATTAAATATTTTATTAAAACATAAAAATGTTCAGTACTTGAAATTATAGTTATTTATTTCCTTTTAAAATCCCTAGAATGAGATATGATCTTGAAAAATGCATTCAAATTATAATGATTTTCTTCCCATATGAACACCAAAAACCCGATGCTTGTGCACTAATACACTGGAAATAAGCATGAGTTGAGACTAGAAACATGAAATATTGTAACCAACAGAAATAACTGTAATTAAACAGAATTATAATAGGTATGCAAATGAATGTAAAACATAGAATTATGGATTTCACATAATGTACTTATTTTAGAATTAATAAATCTAAATAGAGGTATTAACTGTCAGTAATATTTGAGCAAGAAATCAGTTCGTTATTCTAGTGTACCCAAAATGCAACTAATGAACAAACAAAAGCAAATGATAGCTGATAACTGCCAAGATTCATTAAAAGCTCATCAGCGACCGACGTAAAGTCTCTGAATAATGGCAGTTCGTTCCGAGGTTCGAATCCCATGAATGGGCTGGCTGCATAGGAATTTTCGTGTTTTTCCCCCCAAGTGCAACATGTATATGAGCCAGTTCCCTTTGAAAATCCTTCACAAAGGAATCCCTCCCCTTAGGCAGATAGCCCTCGAGCGCTTTGCCATAATCAAATAAACCAAACCAATATTCTATAAAAAATGCTATTAAAATATAAAAATACTAGAAAAATTAAGTGCTTGGTTTAAACTGTAATTAGTACACGTTTGTAACAACTGCAGCAGCAGCAGCAATACGTTCAAACTGAATTTCTTTCTAACCGCCCCCAATAGAACTAACTGCCTATAATCTTTCTTCATTCCGTTTATGTTTGTTGGTTATTTAGTTATGGCAAAGCACTCGAGGGCTGTGATGGCTTAATAGAAACTTCTTGCATTAACATTCGCTCTCACTCACATACAACAAAATTTAACTACAAGTAAAATGGGTATCACCTATAATCTGTCATGTAGCAGCAAATACACGGTGACCCAGAAGTTAAGAATTTATTGCCTTGTGAACTAATTAATTTATTAATTTAGTTAATGGGTTTCCCCTCTTGAAGAATTCTAATTTGCCGATTTTTGTTAAGTATTTTTTATTTATCTATTATCAATTTTTATGTGTATAATTTCTTCACAAAATGTAATATTTACTATCTTTAAATTACCATGCGTGCAATGAATTGCATTTTGACTTTATTATAGAATGTAAAGAAGTGTAGTAATTTTTTTCTACTTTTTAGATTTCTTTTATTTTAATTTTAGATTAGAATTTGTTGAAAAATTACAAATTTTCTGGTTCATAACCTTTACTTATCTCTTTATTTGTTTTTTTATCCACAAAACAATACAGTGTATAAAATTAAACGAAAGTTCTACAGCAATAGTTACAAGAGTAATATCAAATATGCATAAAATTGAATTTAATAATGAAATTTAAATACAATCTATAATAATAAAAGCAAGTGTAATGTGTCTGTCTGTCTGTCTGACCGAGCTCTCCAGCAAAATCTATCGCACGCAGGGACCTGGAATTTTTTATACGGAAGCACAAAGGGGCTGGCCACCAGACCTCGAAGCCCGATTTTCGATTTTTGAATTAGAAAAATTTTAAAAAAATTATTTATAATTTATTAATCACGGTTTTTTTGACTCACTGATATTATTATTTGTTTTCAAATAACGTTCGATTGTAACAATTGATTTCTTTATTCTAGCGTTAGTTTGCTGTTTTGAAGATACATTAAATCGATTAATTACAATTCATTTCTTTTTTGTAGCTTGTGGGGGGGGAAGAGAGAGAGACAGTCTACATGTCCTACACTACTATTCCTGCGCTATTCACTTATCTGCATTTTCTAAATGCACGGGCAACGCCGGGCGGGTACACCTAGTTACTAATATACAGATGTTTTGCACAGATCTTTTCGTTTTATAATTTGATCTACTTTTACAAGTCTGGTTGCGAGCAATACCCCCATGAGTTCGAGTTTCGGCCCACTCAGTCTCTTTAATAGGGCAACATGATTTTTCGAAGAAATTAGGTTCACTGAGATTTTATCAACGTATTTAACGCTTAAGTATACTGCTGTTCCATATGCCTTTTGGCTAGCATTGTTCGCAAGGATTTGAAGTTACTTGTCATCCCTAGGCTACAGTCGAGGATCATCTTTGGCATATGAATTTTCCCAAAGGAATGGAAATTTTTACAGATGGTTCAAAGATCCAAGATGAAGTTGCATTTTATAGCTTACGAAGATAAACTAGTTATAACATATAAAATATATACATTTAATGATTCAAACACAGTTTACTAAGCCGAAGCAATAGCTCTGAAGGAAGCCTTTTCATGGCTACATGTTTTTCTCAAAAGTAGTCACAATATGCTAAAATTTATACAGATAGCCAAAGTGTTTTAAAGGCATTATGTTCCACCAAGATAATAGAGAATGAAGTTGCTGATACAGCAGCTAAGGATGCCACATTAAAAGATATGATTGATATCCACTTTCCTAGGTCAAGACTTACAATCAAGAATAAAATTTCTAAACAAGTTTTAATAAAATAGCAAAAACACAAGTATCCATAAAAAGAATAAAAATATATTTCCTCCTAGTATAATTAGCAACAAATCATGGAAAGTATCTACTTTGTTTCCAGCGATTCTTAAGAATAATTGTTAAGATGTGATTGTGGAGCACCAGCTCATCTAGAAGATACTAAACATTATATATGGCAACACGGTGATTGTGAATAATTAATCATACGAGTGACTTAGCAAGTATTTAATGACAAGAAAAGATTATAGCATATCCTGTCTACATTTGTAAAGAGCAAGAGAACAAGAGAAAATTATATCAAGTCTTTTTTTTTTTTTTTTTTCCCATCCTGTATAATTCTTCCTTACTCTATTACTTTTTACACCAAAGAGCCATTACATTATGACCACTCTCCATCTATAAAAATGGGCTCGCCCAGGAACAAAAACACTGCGCGTGCGGGGCTGATGTTGGAGTAAAAGCGGCTATGCATTGTCTTTCCAAACATAGCGTGATTAGCGACATAATGGGAAAAGCATTTATCAGACTTCGAAAAAGGTCAAATCGTTATGGCTCGGCGACTGGGAGCATCAATATCAGAAATGGCGCTTTTAGTGGGCTGTTCACGTGCAGTTGTTGTGAAAACATATCAAAAGTGGTATATGGGTGGTGAAACGACAAGTCGCCGGCCAGAAGCGTGTCGTCGACAGCGCATTGATTCCAGAGGCGGAGATTGCTACGCATTGCGTGCTGTGACTGAAGAGCTACAACAGCCGAAATCACCACAAGCTACAACAGTGGCGACCCAAACAGTGTTTCTTAACACACTGTGCAGCGTACATTGCTGCGTATGGGCCTACGCAACCGGAGGCTGAAGCATGTCCCTGTTCTGACGGCACGTCATTATCAGCTGCGTCTGCAATGGGCCAAGAAACATCGGAATTGGACATTAGAAGAATGGGAGAAAGTTGCATGGTCCGACAAATCACGTTTTCTAGTCCATCACATCGACGGGCGTGTGCTAATACGCCAATTTCTAAACGAAACCCTGGCTCTCGGATACACAGTTGGACGGCGTACTTGCTTCGGCAGTACATATACTAAACTTGGAACGATACAGAGAAGATTAACATGTCCCTGCACAAGCCGGTGGCGGAGTATTACAGTGTAGGCAATGTTTTCATACAGCACATTAGGACCCATAATCTCCACAGAACAATCCCTGACGTCTGTGCGCTACGTGAACATCGTTGTAGACCAGGTTTACCCATTCATGACAACAGTATTTCTGGCAAGGCATGATGCTTACCGACGGGATAATGTACCATGTCATAAGGGTCGATCGTCAGGGAGTGGTTCGAGGAACATTCCAGTGACTTTCAAGTCATGTCTTGGCCTCCAAATTCACCTGACATCAATCCAATAGAGCATTAGTGGTCCCACCTGGAAAACCAAATTCGTGCTACCACGCTACCCTTTCTCAATGTGTGGGATTGCAGGACCAGTTGGTGAGCGCTTGGTACCAAATGCCTCAGACTGTGTATCAGCCCCTTGTGGAGTCAATGCCACGCCAGGTGCTGGCAGTTTTGAGGGCTAAAGATGGTCCTACATGTTATTAACAGGATAGTAATAATTTAATGGCCTTTCGGTGTATGTTTAACAGATCAATGGGTCCCGCTGACAATTGTAATCAAATTCCCAGTCGAGCGCGGTTAATGAACATTTATGCTCTTAGCCTTATGGCTGCATATGCTGAATGGATATCTAATCAATTGTCTCTTTGTCTCTGCACAGGATTTAAATTATCTCCCCGCAGTGTTCTTCACTGAAAGGGGCGGAATTATTGGTTTGAATGGGTGGGATTTACCTACTAATAAAAGAATTTTTTAAAATATCAAGAATAGTACTTGCGCATTTATTTTTATAATTTCATAAAAACAATTTCGTGAAACCTTGTCGAAAGAAAAATGAGGATAATGTAAATTTAATCTCTATCAACCAAGTTTTCGACTATCCGAAATGGTTACGGTTCCATTTACCTCATATCAAGGTTCGATATCAATTTGTTATACCTTTGAACAAGGAGAATAAATGGCATATTTTTACGGTTAAAGATCAACTGGTAAATAATGCTATTCATTCTCCAAATTTTATTACAGTAGACGCCGCTTTATGTGATAGCGATTAATGTTATCATTCGGATACTGTTATCGTATTGCCGAAATCTCGCCCGCCTGTATACGAAAACATCGTGAGCAACAATTCGATTAACATGATAAGAACATTATAGAAAAAAAAAAAAAAAAAAAACACTAAGGTTAACGTTGCCACATATGTTTAAAATGCATTCTAAAATTTCCAGTTTACAAGGAAATGGCGCCAAATATCTTGATTTCAGTTTTTAGTTAATCATTTAAAATTCGGCAAAACACAACCTAAATTTTGAAATTAAATAGCTTGATCAATTTTCTTCATACGAATGTCAAATTTTCTGTATTTTACTCTTTATAATGAGTAGCAATTTCCATTTATACAGACTGTACAAAAAGCTAGATTTTGTAATTTTTATTAAATCGATTCTTTTAAAATTAAAAATGGGCAAACTCAGTATTTAAATCATTTAAAACACTTTTCATAATTGGAAGTATATGGCGGACCAGCGGTTGCTAATATAAAGGCCACATATGGACTTTTATGGACATGGTGTATATACTAAAACTTAACTAAATTCGGCGGCACAAACAGCCCTTAGAAAGCCATGGCCGGAAGTGCCCTAACATCTGCTTTCTAGAACGTGGGCTCCGGGGTGCTTGCGCATCTTAGCCTAGACAAGTGGTCAGCTTGTCGCAGGATCCTCGGTGTTTAGTCCGCAGTCGAAATTGGTACTCATTTTATAGACCCATTCCAGGGATGAAAGGCTGAGTCAACCTTGCCCAGCCCGGGGATCGGAATCCGGACCTGTGGTGCTGCTGCGCCACAGGGCTCTATGGTGTATACACACGTTGATTAAAAAATATCTGGCAAAATTGTAAAGGCAGCTAGAGCATTTTGACATTTGCCAAGTGAGAAATAATGATATTTAGCAAATATTTTAGACAAACACCAAGGGATTATGTGAATGTTGACACTCACCGGATAATATAAATATTTACCAGATATCGGTCTTTTACAGTAACACACACATATATATTATTCCCAATTTCAGACCCTCATTTTTAACACTTTTCTTATTTGTCTACAGAGCAATCAGAAATATTCTCTATTACGAGTTTTTCTCGCCAATTGGCATCAACATACAGAGGACTAGTATTTAGTATGCCAAAGAGTTTTCCTCACCAGTTTGCAATTCGACATAATTCGAGAAATCTTTAGCATATCAGCTTAAAAGTTGAAACTCTTACAATACTAATAACGCCATTGTTTTACTTATAAAAATTTTTCACGCAAAATGCCTAAAAAACAACAAATGGCAGCCATTTTTTAAGTAGGAGTTTGATAAATGTTTAGAAGTAATTATTTGGACTTTTGGCCTTTTTTATATAATTTTTTTTTAATAGGACGGAATTTAAAATCTAAAATTTCTTTTATTGTAAATATGCGTTTTAGGTATATATTTTTATTTTTAAGTACTTTTTTACTCATTGCAAATAATTATTTCACAATAAATTCAGGTGTTTTCAAATATATTTACAGAATTTAATTTACTTTTACTAGGGAATAGAATAGTGTCGGGTATTTTTCTAAACTGCTTTAGACTTAATTAATATTGAATCTAGATATTTTATTAAATCTTTAAAATCAAATTTCTTTGTAGTAGTCTGGAAAGACGAGACATGATTCGGATTTCCTTAATTATTGATGACTGTATCGAAAAAGGCAGCCTATTTCAATGGAATCATCAGTAATTAATATACTATTTTAATATTGTATCTTTAACTGAAAAAAATCTTTATTGTATTACAATAGTTTTTTTCATAAAAATAGACTTTTACTCTACATTTTCCGAGATGATATTACCATTTAATATATTATTTAATTAATGTTTGCAGCGTCAGCCCTAAATTTTAGGTCTGAAAGTCTAATTTTGCCTATTTTTTTACTTAAGTTTTATTGGAATATACACACCCAAACACAAATACAGGGGGGATTCAAAAATATCTAGCAAAAATATACATAAAGGAAAATTCTATATGTAATTTTCCTTTAAGTTTTATACATATATGCATACATGTGCACACAGACGATCACTAGGTAGATACACTCATTATGTACATACATATTTAAAGATGCGTACATAAAACTTAGACAATAAAAAAGACTGAGCTTTTGAACTGATGTTCTAAAATTACAATAAGAGTGAATTTCACAGAAAAGTTTTTGACTAGATGTTTTGGTCACTGCATAGTCCTCAAACAGAATGAAACTGTAATTTAGAAGGAACTTGCTAATTAAAAATACCTGCAGTCAAGTTCAGAATTTTGAATTTGATACCCTCCATTAGAATATATTCTTTTAACACGTTTGAATGTAAAATATACGATGGCGATCTTTTGTCGAAAATATCACACATTATACTAAAAGTCATATCATACTGTCAGAAAGTCTATTTAAAGTCAAAATAAAATAAGGAATAGCTACGTTTGTCTGATCATATGCAAGGGTTTGCAAATATTTGCACTTAAGTACAATTAGTTATATACAGGTGAGCAATTTTTTCACCTAAATAAACTTACATGAATTACTTGAAAATGAAAACTGCCTATAATTACTAAGTTATTAAATTAAGGAAAAAGTCTGTGGATAATTCAGCAATAAGAGACTGAAAATGCAACAACAAACCAGTCAAGCTCCTTGTAAACTTTAAATAATGCATTTGTATTAAAAACAAGAAAAGAAGTTATTTCATAAAAGATACAGATGGGAAATGCATTAAAAACACTGATACACGTTAATCTCAGAACAAAGTCTCATTAAGATGAAATAGCATTACAATCTAAGGTATACATAACAAGCAACATGGGTTGAACTAATAAAGATTATTAAAATGGAATGAACGAAATTTAAAGAATTACACATAATAGTTAATATGATACAAATATGAACAAGCAAACAATATAAAAAATTCTTTAAATTTATAAGTAAATGCAACTTATGTATTATGATACAATATAAGTTTTTCTTTGAAGGGGCATTTTTCGCATACTGCTGTCATTTTTCTTATAATCAAAGGAAAAATAGTATGCATGTGATCAGGAATATATTCAGCTAGAAAAAATATTCTTCCTTCATAACATAATAATACAGCATGTCTTTCTTCTCTTCCTCACACATCGTCTATTCATGAACTCAGTTAATTACTTTGAATTATTTCCGGTGCTTTTAATGATCAATGCTGCAGAATTTAAAAATCAGCGTAATGTTTTTTACCCATTGTATTTCAAATTACTTTACACTTTAAAGTCTTTTATATATTATTTAGTATTCGACCTCGTGTTTCTATTTTTGCTTTATTTCTAATTAGAAGAAAAGATGCATATCTAAAACGAAGGTAAGTTTCTAAATACAGATTTCAGAGAAAATATTCACATTATATAAGAACTCCAACTATTCTGGATCTTTGTTTTTTATTCTACTCCATTACAAATATAATTAAATCCGCTATTAATTTAATTACGTATTTTAAAATTTTCATTGATTTAATTATTATATAAAATAAATAGACAGTGCAGTATGTAATTTTTGAAGTACTTATATTAATTTAGATGAATGAGTATAATATGTACAGTTTAAAAAATAGTATTCTTAATCATCAGATATTTATCGATGCAAGAGAGATGGCAGGATTCGAAGTCCAAATCTTCCGATTCCTAGCTGGTCGTGCTTTCAGTTACACTGTGAAGGCAGGCAGCAAGGAAGGAGGAAATTTCCCGTCCCTGTTTCAACCGGCGACTGAGGAAGAGAAGATACTACTCGCTAAATACAGTTGGTGACGAATTATGATATACCACATTTTAGTTCGGTCGCCTCTTGTAGAATCACGATATTTATTTCGGAGTAGCAAAAATGAAAAATCAGCGATGGTCTCGCCAAGATTCGAACTCTGAATGTTCCTGTTACCAGTCGCACGTGCTTCCAATTACACGCCGAATGCAGCGCAAAGGACGGAGAAGCTTCTTTTCACCGCTATTAAGATGATCCACTTTATCTTTTACTGATGAAGATCATAGCTCTCCGCATAACGAAGCTTAGCTTGGGTGGAATGATATTAAGAATGTGACACAGCTCATATATTTCAAATGAAATCATTATGTGCCTCAGTTATTAAAGAACGTTCTTTGGCAACAAAGATGATTCTGACATTTTTTTTTTTTTTTTTTTATACTGAAGTCATGAATATAGTATATCACAAATTATAAATGCAAAAGTTTGTAACATGCATTATGTTGTTAATTTATTTTAGACGAATAAAAAATGTCTGTTTTATTTTAGATGAATAAAAATACAATATGCATTTTTTACGCAAATAAAAAATAATTATTTTGCTTAAAAGATAAAGATTACTTAGGGCTTATGAAAAAAATTAGTTTCATTCTTTTATATTAATTTTGTTGGAAAAAATAGAATTTACATTTTAATGAAAGAGCTAAAAACGCTTTGAACAGTATGATATTCATTGAAATGATTTGCAATAAAATAAAATGCTCTGCATTACATTGCGCTGAATACATATTTGGCCTATAAAAAGATAACCTAAATATCTGGAATTTTTTAATATCCGAGTAGGCTGTGGTAGTACTAAATCAGGATAATTGGAGTTCCACTATATTTAAGATAGATTTAGATTCCAAAAATCATTAGTGTCTGGATATATCAGATTCTTTAATTCACAATATACTTCATTGCACAATATACTTCATCACTTAGGCAATTAATAATTTTGTATGTTTGTTGAAACATGTATCATCTCAAGTAAAAGAAGGATATCAAATGAAAAAGAGAAAACTGGAGAAAGGAAGACAAAATGCACATTAACTGATATTAAACTGACATAATAAAATAATAAATTCAAAATAATCTTACCAGTGTTTAATTGGAAAAATAAAAAACGTTTTAGCATGCTTAATACATCTTATTAACACACAAATATATATCGGGAGGGGGGAGAAAGAATATTATTTTAGAAAAGGAAAATGAACCAGCTGCACAAAGATGCTACTGATTTTCGATTCAGTGATATACCCACTGCAAAGACTTTTTATAAATTTACTATTGAATGAAGATCCTTAAATTTACTAAAGTACATCAATATGAATATTTAACCCCAATAATAGGTTAAAACAGATATAAAAATGCTCATTCTTAAAAAAATAAATATTTTCACATGCATTTAATACTGTAAAACGTGTATAATATTTGAATAAGTATGAACACATTATATGAATCATAAATCATTGTATTTCACAATTCATGTAATTAAAAACCTCTTTAGGTAGTATTGCAAATTAAGGAATGTGAAACATTAAAAGTACTAAAAGTAATCAGTCATATACAGGACAGCAGAACTGAAGTTAAACGCTTGTTCAAACCTCTATTTTGATACTAAGGGTTTTCGACCTTTCTGTTACTCTTCCACCATGTAATATCTATTTTTCCATTGCAAAAACAAAAACAATAGTAACTCTGCATTTTCATGTTTTAATACATGCATCTTTTTTCAGTCAACCATAGACCTTTTAAGCATTAAAAGTTCTCCAGTTACTAAGCTTTGACCACTTAACCGTTCTAGGAGAGTACTGTTTCACTCATAATTAAGTAATAATTATTGACAATAATGAGTGTATAATTGCAGGCAGATGTTTATATAAGTTTTTCAGATTTTTAAGAATCAAGTCTTGATGCAAATCCTGTATCTATATTATCTATATTAGCATATCAACAAAGGTTTTTCTTCTTCCCATACAATAAGAATTAAGCATTACAAACCAGTTTCTTAGAGCATCATTTATGCCTAAAAATACGTTTTCCAACAAGAAGCTATAAAAGCACGGAAATATGAGAAGAAACAAACAGCTACATTAAGTAGAGGAAATTAATGTAAGCAATAAATCAGTGAATAATATTAGTTGCTTTAAAAACTAAATGGAAAAGAATATATGCCTTTTATAGCCTTTAATTTTGCCATAAGTTTCTATTCTTTTTTACGTAGAAGAGGCGATTTTCAACTTAGATAAGTTTTATTTTTAAAACATAACTTTTGAATATTTAAAATTAATTCAGAAAGATATCCTACTCTTATACATTTAAATAATACTTTGGGCATCCAATTATATGATACTTTGGAAACACATTTTTCTGAACACTCTATAAATGAAATGCTGAAAAATAAAATAACGAAATTAAATATCCAGAAATAAAAATAACTGAAGTAGCAAAGATCTGTTAAATTCAAAAACGAAATAATAAATCTATTCCCTGTTCCCATATATATTTATAAATTTCTATTTGATTCATAGCTAAAATTATTTTCAGCTGTTATGATCAAAAGATTATAAAGCCGAAAATTCTAAGAAAATATGAATGCGTCAATGAAATATAATACCATCTCAAACCATGACGCTTACAGCTAGGATCACTAAAACGCTCTGCAATGAAGTCTTGATAACGTTCCTATTGTAGAGACAAATGAAGTTCTGCCCATCATGGATTTACGGATTGTATAGAGATTTATGGGAAAAAGATAATTTGCACCAATTTAGCGTTCCAATGTGTTCGCCTTCTGCCCTGCGGAAATCGCTGACGCCTATAATAGAGAATTTAAAGCCTTCGAAGCAGCGGATGCTGAGCTACGTGACTTCATTGCAACAATCGTCGTCTAACATGGCTGGCACACTTAGTGGGATACCCTCTACTGTTTTAGTAACGGTGTTGATGTTGCAGCGCGATTTATTATCATTTGTACTAAATTTCTATCTTACAGTTCTGACGTAGTTTTAAATGTTCCAATTCCCTCCCATCAATGCCTCAAACCTTCTTTTGACCATTGTTTCCATGTACGCATAACTAACTGTATTGGCCCAACAATCTCATGGTCACGGTCCGATTAAGACAGAATTAGGAAAAAGGCCCTTCTGTGAGCCCCCAATGTTTATTTTCCTTCTTTCATGATAGAAAAAACAAGGTGGTATAGAGAGCTGTAAGTTAATCTGGGAAACCATAGGCGCGGGCTTTGTGATCCTAGACGGTAATCAGGCCCTGCTCACTATACAAGAAATTACCTTCTCTCACTCCGATTATTACTGCTCTTTCAAAATCCGTCAACTGTTCATAATATCTCGTTTTGCGCCAAGACCGGTTTTGACAGGTTTCTTTATCTCCGTTGAAGGATACCAATGGAGAACACCTATGCACTGTTCGGGATTCGTTTTGCGCGGCTAGGTCAGCTTTTCTGATATTGCATGCGCATGCTATTTGCATACATGTTTGAACATTTAATCATTTGCATTTTGTATGGTAATTAATCACTTTGCAAAGTCTGGCTGGGAATCGATTATCATGTGACGATAACTCTTTTCTTGTTACTATTTCATTGAGAAGCAATGTATCGTACGTCATTTGCCATAGGACTTTATTTATAGTCTTTAGTAAGCAGTAAAAGGTACTGCCTTTTCATATTTTGTAGATATATTCTATATAGACTGGCGGGAATTAATAGGTGGCAGTAATTTTGGAATAGTTAGTTCCAGAATAAATTGAGAAGCGTCAAATATAGAGTAGAAAACTGGGAGACCACTAGGAACCGGAGGGAGGAGGTTTTATTAACACGCTTGAGGATTGGTCACGTTCAAGTCACGCACAGTTACCTTTTGAAGATCGAGAGTGAACCTATTCGTTCAAACAATAATACTGTTTTGTCCGTAGTCATTTTTTAATTGAATGTTCTCATTTTAATCGACTTCGATTAAAGTATTTTAGCGACAGTGTCTTGACTCTTGATCGTATTATCGGGAAAAGGTAAATGACAATTTATTTCAATACCTGAAAGAGACACGTTTTTATTATTTAATCTGATTTTCTTGATGTTGTTTCTTGGGATTTTAATGCTATATATTCTAATATACGTCATATTTTTTTATTTTTGATCATGTTTCGTATTGGAAACTATGCGAGTTTTATGCATTAGTTTATTTCAGAATTTATCATTTTTTCACATCATTCGATTTTATAAGTGTGATCTTGTTTTAAATTTGTGCTTGTTTGTATCTTGTCCTTGTCGCTTATTTAATTTGGGATGTTTTTAATGACATGTTTTCAGCGCATATAAACGTACAGGCTTTGCGCCAGGAAATCCATAACCAAACAAAAATACTTGGAGTAAAATTAAAGGAATTATAAATACGTCCTTTATGTTAATTCTATTACGTGAAATCCAATGAAAGGCAGTTAGTTGATAACTCAAAGCATGTATTCCAATAGGATTCACCTTTGCTACACAAAAACATGCAAATTTTTGATCTCATTCTTCCGTTATGTGCAAAAACGTATGCAAGGGGGTGATTTATATTCTAATTTCAAGAACTTTGTGAGCAGCTATATAAAACTTCCACGTCTGAAAGGTGGAGGATGTCGTTGAGAAGGTATCTGACCAATTGTACGCCATGGCGCGTGATTGAGGGAGTGAAAGCAAGATACTGACACAGGTTTGTAAATACCTAAAAAGTAGTCAAAAACGTCCTTGCAAGCATCCTAGAAATGGTTTAAATAAAATGGTGATTACCAGATCAAGGTTGAAAACGTGCCACAACAGATTCGCTGGAATATTATTTGGCAAAGACTGCTAAACGAAACAGACAACTGATGTGAGTCCAGATTGCAAAGGAGTTCGCTGCAGCTACAGGAACTCGACCATATAGACATACAGTGAATTACAGGTTGAATAAAAAAGGGCTGTATGCAAAGAAACCCTTGATTTGTATCCAACTAAGCCGAGCTGTGAAATGCAACCAGTTACCAGTGGTGCAGATATCATCATGATTACAGCACCATAGACTGGAGCTGAGTTTTTTTTTAAAGGTGATGAGCCTGACGATGTTTGGGGAGTGATTTCAGACGTGTTACCATCTGGAAGGGACAAAACACACGCAATAAGCCTGAAAAATATCCATGAAAGGCAGCGATATAAAAGTAGCAAAATCATGGTATAACTGTGTATAATTTTGAAGGGCTGGGCTGACCTCCGCATTTTTACTAGTGCAACTATGAATGCTGAAACATACAGAGATGAAGTTCTTGATCCTTATGTCAAGTTATTTAGGAGTGTCTTCCTTCTTGTCATTTATTCTACAACAGCAGATAACAGCTGCATAAAATCACATGAGGGATATCATTCAAACTTCTTTTCGTACGCAAACAATATTTAGGTGGAAGGAAGTTCAGATGTGCTAATAACTCCCCCCCCCGGGGGTTGACTCAAGAAACTTTCTGGGAAGTACTGGCTAGGATCTGCACTTAGGCAGTCTGAACCACGGGGGTGCGTAATTTGACTTCACAGGACTAGAGCCCTAGTTCAGTCTAAGGCTGGTTCAGGCTTGACAGGGACCGTACTGGTACTGTTGTGTCTGTTTCTTTGGCTGTTGTGGAGCTAGATCGGAGATCACTGACCTAGTCGACGGGGGTTAGGCTCTCAGAGTCCCAGTGATGAGGATTGACAAAGCGGACAAGGCACCAAGACGAATTTTGATGCCAATGGAGTGGTGCCCGGAGGCAAAGATGTCACAGCGTTAAATTTTGTATTATGTACCAAGCGTTTGCTACCTTGTCAAAGGCTATGTATAAAGCCGGACAGGGACTGTGGGGTCTGCGCCGCCGTTGAAGGGGTCTCAGAAGCTTGGATATTTCCACCCCGATATGACAGACACTTAGGGGCATCCGGAACGGGGATCCCTGCTTTTTCATTCTGTGTTAATAACTATTTCCAAAGGTTATCATCTGGCAGTTTCACAGGTCTGATTGGAAAAATTAAGTTCTAAAATTTTGTATGTGCATACACAACATTGTGCAACCAGTTCTGGTCTATTAAAAATACGGCCCTAATTAAAATAAAAAATATCTTTTAACAGACAATAATATCCCATGTTAAGACTAATTTTAAAAGATAAAAAATTTGTAATTCAGATACAAGAAATTAGACAACCTCTAATAATGCATCAATTACACTATGACTAAAATTTTTAGATAACCACATTTTTCTTGGGATACTATTGACACGCATTATTGAATCACTACATCATATAAGCAAATTGGGAAATAGTTTCTGAGAATGAAAAGCAGGAAGGGGGAGAAAAAGTCCATTTATTTGCCATGCTCATAAGAAGACTGAAACATCCCTACAGGCAGACATAAATTATACTTAGTGCCTCTATTATCCAAAGTTTATCAGACAAACACTAGAACAATCTGCTTAAGCAGACAGATGCCTTTGTGGAGTTTTTAAAGGAATATGACTCATATTGACGGTACACATGGGAAAAACCATGAAAACTCTCATGCAGCTATCAAAACTTTCAATGTAACTACAACATAACAAGCTTGAAGTAATAAAATTTTATTTCCACAGAAATTTAACACGTAGATAACATATAAGTGAGATGATTTATGACTTGGAAGCTTAATATTCATAAAAGACTGTTTTTAAAAACGATTTTATAGTCATTTTTTCGCTTAAATTCACTCATTTTTTTCTATAGCTGCAAATGCGGAAATTATACTAAAGCAGAAATTTCACTTCTTATGGAACATGCAATGCAGCACTTTAAATACTCAGATTAGTTTATATGAATCTGGCAAAACTACGAGTGCTATCTGCCTAAGAGGAGGGATGCCATCATGGAAGATATTCTAAGATAAATGTGACTCGTACTGACTTTACAGATGATGAAACCAGCCATATAGCCGAAGAAGGAAACCAGCCTCCTTCTTCGGCTGGAATCGAACCCTAGTCACGGTCGAATTACCAATACTCAGTTTTAACCACTCGGCCATTGGGTTTTAAATACTCAAATCCCATCTATCTATCTATCTATATATATATAGTACTTGCTTCTGAGTTAAAAAAATGCAACTAAAATGTCAAAGTATTATAGTCTGGAAGTAATTTTAAGGACTTGTATCAATTTAATACAAATAAAAGACTCGATATTTTGCATTACCATTCAAATATCGACTTTAGTTCATTTATTATCACGGAATTAAAAAAATATGACAATTTATATATATGTAATAACTTAAGAAAGTTGATACAGTGACTGATGAATGCATAAACACAAAATGGGAGAGCTGGTGGCATCACGAATGGATGCATTAAAAGAAGCGGAAACTTTCAGATGTGGCCGAATTCAATCATTTCTTTTTTATTCATGGTTGGTATACTTTTTTACTTAATCCAACACAAATCAAACAGGCGTTACTGCGTCTTCTTCCAGAAGAATTTTTACATTTGTAGCGATAAACACAGAGCCGTAGCTACGGTTTTCAGTGCCCGGGGACAACTGAAGATTTCGCGTCCACCTCCTATTTGCCAAGAATGGAAAACGTTTCATTCTAAAATTTATTAGCATCAATTGGGCGGCCTGGGGATGCTATTTTAAAATTAATGTTAGCAGTTTGCTTTACTTATTTTTATCTTACATATAAATATTCTCTTTTCCAGAAATCTGTCGACTTATATTCATCTCCTTGTAGAGACATTAGGTATTTTTTTGAAAGCAGGAGAGATGAAAAAATGAGCAATGCCCTCACCGGGACTCACACCACGGGTCTCTCGAATATGCGCCGAGCTTGCTGACCACTACACCACGAAGACATGCTAAGAAGGTGCCAGAAATACCTTCTTAGCAATTAGCTCTTCTTAGCAACCTTCTTACCTTACCAATGAAAAGTCTCATTTGATTTAGCTATACTTTTCTTCATGGCCCATTCATGAATACTAAAGGTCATTAGCTGTTAATAATTACGAGAAAATAAGTATAAAACATTGCTTGTTTCATAAGAATAAGTTATACAAAAATAAGCAAGCAAAAATTGCTTATATCATTAATTTTGTAAGTTTCAAAGTTCTTGTATGATAGAATATAAAACGGATTACCAAATTTAATGGTATTACAACCCCCCAGGGCAAATAACTAGTCACAATGCACATGAAATTAATAAAAATTCATATTTATGTTCTAGCAGGCCTCTGAACCCTTAGCATCAAATTGCTTCTGTATCCTTTCTGTAACACCTCGCACATGGAATAGAACAAAAAAACAAAATTCAGTATTAAAATCAAGCTTAAAATGTTACTGATATACAGCATATTTTTCAAGACGTAAAAAATTCATAAGAATGTCACAAAAAATATATACACTTTGAACAATTATGAGAGAAAAAAAAGTCACTTTAGATGCACTACTTTTTAGCAGTAACATCTTCATTCAAACCACGTAAGGAAAATTTGAATTAACATCATTAATAACCGTACATTGATATGATTAAAAACACTTTATAAAACTGTTCTCACAATTTACAGTAACTATATTCTGTTTTTAAAAGTAAAAATCACTTTCTGGATACATTATTTCTGGCCATTGCGTTTCCTGATCTCTCTTATGATTTGATTCAGATTTAGACGGTCTTTTCCTTGGACTCGTTCTCACTTTACAGAACTCTTCAACAGATAAGAGACGAATTCCTTGTGCTGTTAAAATTTTTCCATGTCGTGTTTTAAGATGACGCTTGTATGTGTTTCTTGTTTTAAACCTATAATAAAATAGATTTCGTAAGTCTGTCTCATAATATTATAACAAGTAAACTGTGTTAGACATCTCTACAAATGATGAAGTCATAGTAAATTTAGAAATGGCACTCGATTAATTACATAATGCAAATAAAATTATATTAAATACAAAATTAAAAGTATCTTTTCTAATCCCTACAGTAAAAGAACTTACTATGGAATTTATTGAAGCTGAACAATATCAATATTGATTTTGAGTTAAAAACTCATGAGGCAATAAAATCTTCTTCGTACATTTATGAACCACAGAAAATCCATATTACATTCTCTGATAGTAATGGGGAGAATAAGAACGAAGCACTTCGATAACATTTTTGGATTCACATGAAAACACTCCAAATGATCAAAAATTCAAAGGCCATTGACCGAATAGTGAACCGAAAAAGTGCATAAAAATGTACTTTGATGAGCATGCATAAAGAACAAAGCTCCAAAGCAAGGGCAACCGACAGAGAACCGGTCTAAGTGGGCTGTAAGAATACATCATTGAAATTCGATTTATTTATGGTAAAAGCAGATAGGTCAGTGGTGGCGAACGTTTTTGCGGCCACATGCCCAAAACCTTTTTTCTCGGGGGGGGGGCGTGCCCAAAACCTCTTTGATTAAACCCCATCGGAGAGCGGTTTATCATGTTTTGCCAGGAACAGTGAAATTTGAAAGCTGGCCGTTGTTAGATGGTTTGTTTTAGAAAGATAATTGCAAAAACCAACTTTCTCGTAATTATAATTCCTCAATTTCCCTTCAATAAACACTTTCCGTTCAGCTTCTTCAAGTTCGGCAACAATCTCGTGGTTGGTGTTAAAGTGCCGTCTGACACTAGATGTGTGACACACAACACTTTCGCACAGAATGCATAATGCTTTCCTATTGTGTTCAATAACTCCAAATAATTCTGTCCAGGTCTCTTGAAATGATCTTCCACTGTCAATATCGAATTTTGCCTTTTTTGCTAGAGTCATTTGTGAGGGTCCAAGACAAGAAGTATAATAGAAAAGCACAAAATTTAAAAATGAAGCATTAAATATAAATCGATCATACACTAAAATGAGGTAGCATTATTAACCAATAGTCAGGAACTGGATTTTCCGGAATCAACAATGTATGACTGCAGATTCAAATATGAACAGGGCACAGGCGGTAGTCGTTAACCCGGACATCTCTTTCCTAGACTTCTAACTTTAGATTTCATATGCTCCTATTCGGCTTTATTGGGCTTATTTTGGCTGAGCGCATGTGAATAAGCTTGGTTTCCCCACTAAGCTTGCGTGTTTTGCTATATTATCAAATTGCATGTTTTTACATTATATTTGTACATTCCGTTTAAGATATTAAATTAGAATTATTCATAAGTTGCCTCAAAATGCTTGTTGTTGTTGTTGCTTATGCTCACTTGTCTGACCTAGTCAGCCCAAGCCCACGAAATTCCTCGTGGCAAGGAGCGCTAGATTAAGCCTGCCGTTGGCAACAGCCTTGAGCTTCATTCAGGTGACAGTGCGATTTAGATCAGTTGCGCCCCCAATTTTGATGGAGAGCACACTGAGGGGGACGGGTCCGAGGGTCTCCTACCCCTCTCCCCTTCCACCAAACCACATGAGAGGACTTTCGGCTCGCCACATATTTAGAATACCGCCGTGCCGCACCGACATTATACATTTACAAACATCCACTTCTTCTCCGAGATTCTAACCCAGGTCCTTCGGCACAGCAGTCAGCGACGCTAACCACTATACCGGTTGAGTGGCCCAAGGAGCGCAAGATTGCGCCTGTCGTTAGCAAGAGCCTTGAGCACCATACAGGTGACAGTACGCCTTTTGCTCACTTAAAGTTGCTCAGCCCGGGGATCGAACCTCGGAGCGCGACACGCTAGCCACGGGGCCACTCAAAATGCTTAGATCTGAAAACTGGAATATATTTAACAATGAAAGTATTAAAACTCACCGGTAGTCTGCAATAAATTTGAATTTGTTTAACATTAGTTGCTTCAACTTTGGCGTATTCTTTGCAAGTAATATGATTGGCGACATATTACATGCAACAAGTAATACGATTGGCCCAAATAATTGAAACGTCATAAATTGGGTCAATAAATATGTATATCATTTCTATGGCGATATATGAAAATCTTATATCTCAGCTTAGGCCCTATGCCAGTAACATTATGTGATAAGAAAGTAAGTGAAACGTTCAAGAACAGATTAAACACTTATTTAAATTACATTGTATCATTTTATTGTGATTATTGATTAAGGTAGTAATATTTTACTCGCGTGCCGGCTGATGAGGCTCTGCGAGCCATAGGTTCGCCATCACTGAGATAGGCGATGCTGAGATAAGCCAGACAGCTCCGGTCAACGTATTGTCTAGCATGTGAGTAAAATCGGCATAGCAATCCAGATGTATAAGAGCTAAACAGCGTAATACAACGACATGTGCGCAAGAGGTAGCCATCAGAACGACAGAACGTCAAGATAAACAAACAGTGAAAACTGCACAAAAAGCAGTCATTAACTCGGTTTTTATAAACCATGATCTTATGATGCCTTTTACAGAAAAAGACATGTTTTTCGGAACCATTATAAAATGCTTAAAGTAAAGGCTACCTGGAATCCATAATCCTAGTCCGTCGTTTTTCAGCGACCGTCGAAAAAGCATCGTCAGCATCGTTTGCAATGATGGCTGCTTTGATATATTTGGGATAGTCTCATTGCCTACAAAAGGAATCCGCACTTTTTGTTGGAACACCGCGTGCCTACCACACTGAGAATGAAAACACGTTAAGCCATTTCCCTATGATATATAGACATCGTTGATAATCCTGCCGATCGTCCTCAGTGGCGATACTATGTGTATGGAACTGTATACTATGTGTAGTGGTAGTGTCTGCACTACCATTTCAATTACCATTCTTTTCAAATCATCTTTAAGCAATATTTTTTTCTATAAGAAAAGCCAATTCAGCAACACAGTTTGTGCGTGGGTCGTAAAACTGTGGTGTTCCACACATTTATACCGATCTTTTACTCTGTTGGAGGCTGATTTAAGACTTTTTGGATCCCATTTTGATGTACAACTCTGTTTATTAACGTTGTATTATTTATTTTACTTTGGTGGGCAGATCGTTGTTTAATATGCCATTTTTGCTCTTATTTTTGTGTTTCAAATTGGTATGATATACAGCTTGTGGTGCGGAATGTATGGCTGCATTCATGCATGGTATTTTATCAATTACTTTGTGGCATTTACACTTAAGCTTTGATAACAAAATGTTATTTTAATCTACTTTCCTTTCTGCCTCTTTTGGCCATGAGGTTCACTCAGTCCAGAACTTACGTAGATTTGAGTGGCAATGTTTTACTACACAGTTTAGAGATTTACGAATATAATGTGAGAGTTTGGCTCGTGCTTCACCACCCTTCGATCGAAGAAAACAAACTGTTTACGAATGCCGGTCTTTCTGGGAATACTTCAGACTGAGGTTAGATCCTGTTTATTGAGAGAGTATTCAAAATTCTGTCGCAATCTAGGTAAACTTGTAGTGTCTAGGCACATTACATTTAATCGTTGCATTTATAACCACTGTGAAAGCACGTTTTAAGTTTTGATACCAGGTCCAGCTTGACTGGTAAATTTGTATTTGTGTTTGTGTATTTTAATTTAAGCAGTCATAAGCGGTGAGGTAAAAAAAAAAAAAAAAAAAAAAAAAAAAACTTAAAGCGTTTTAATTTTCCGCTTTTCTATTTGACGGTTAACTATTCTGGCGGTGGTGATAATTCACTGCACAGAACAAACATAACACTTTATTTTTATGGTATTGAAATCGCCAAGTTAGTTGGAATCCGCAGGAGGTGTTACAACTCAACACTCTGCAATTTACGCAAGCTAATATCTCATACATATTCCTGTACAAATGGGCACCACAATAACATAAAGCATACATCATTCCAAAACATAACAGAGCCCAGCCTTCTGCTCTTTGCTACCTTCAGGAGGCATTACTGCTGCATATGATTTTCATGCTTGCTGTGCTGCTAAATATTTATATGTCCTCCCATAATTTACACATCATGCTTGTTTCATGTCACGCTTCTAGATGCTGCAATTTTATTTGCCATTAGTACATTTGTGTCTGAAGCATTATCAGCTATCTTACAATATGAAGTTTAGTATACTAACCTTATTACATATATCATTCTCATAAAAGAGTTTCACTGATCATCTACGAAAACGTACACGAGTTCTACAGCTATTTTCATATCCATCCATTCCTTTTTATAAAAATAATTTTTGAAGCAAATTAATACAATCACTTCAAAAGCTATATTCATCTAAAGTGTGAAAATGTCACAATTTATTTGCTGGCAATAATCAGCACAAACAGCTCATTGCAAGCTATACGCAGTACCATATAAATAATATGATAAAATTCAAAGTCTGATCTTTCTAACTTTTATGAGACAGAGTTAAAAACTATGAAATTTATGTGTTAAGGAAAACTGTTACTATGCATACATACTTATAACTTTTTCCGTCTTTACTTTATTACATGTAAAGAACATTTACAATTATCCTCTTTTATCAAGCTGAACGGCATATAATTCATTACTAAAAATTTTTTTAGAGTATTTAATTTGAGATTTTATTCAAGGCGAATGAAGATGCACGCATAAAATTCATCTTCGAGTGAGCAATGAAACTTTTAGATACCAATAAAAAATTACCTTAAATTACAATCTGTGCACTCATATGGTGTTTCTCCAGTGTGGCGACGTAAATGCTCCTTATAATGGCTTGGATGACGAAAATTCCGACCGCAGTCTCCACAAACAAACCTACTTTTATTATTGTGAATCAGCATATGATAATTCAAACTGTGTTGACGTGTAAATGTAGCTTCACAGACAGTACATGAAAATGGTTTTATACCTGAAGCACATCAAGATAATTAGCGAGAGTTAATTTTTAATGAAATTTAACAAATAAGTAGAAATTGTTTAACTATTTATAGTACATGCTTAAACACATGGGGCAGGTTACATGAATAACAATGATTATTTCACTATAACATTACAACTAAATAATTTTTTGAAGTCACAAAAATATATTGGTTACTGGTTCCCATATTTTGACTTTGCTATGGTTTTCATCAGAAAGCAGACAGACACAGCTTCAGAATTTTGTCCAGTAAGCAAATATTTTGCTCAGAACAACAGATCCTCTATTGCTGTCAGCAAATATAGAATTGTAATAACTTGTATGACTGAATATTAAGCAGTCTTTATTTATGTTTTTTGGGACAAAAATATAAAACAAAATATTTAATTCTCAGTCATACAGGTTGAAAAAAAACAGTGTCTACGAACTTTATTTCCCTAAATATTGATCCTACACATATACTTCCCGTAACAAAGCTTCTTAAAAATATTGTGAAAAACATCTCAGCACTGTAAAAAAGTAGTTTATTTATTTTTAAAATCTCTTTCTGAGGTACCTACAGAGGAAAACTTCCAGCTGCTAAAAACACGAACCGTTTCAAAATTAGGTGGACTTGGTGAACTTGTAGAACTTGAAATTCTAGTTGTCAATCTGACTAACCCTATGGTCTGACTTAAATTACAAAAATATGAAAGCGAGTTATCGTCAGCATAAATACATACATTTTAAAACAATTTAATAAGCGATAAACTTTTATTTTGAGCACAACATGTGGTATGCAACTATTATAACATAAATTGGAGAATCGCTAGAAAATCTTGACTGAAGCGGCTAACAATTAAAATTTAGGTCTCACATCAGATAGATATCTGAAAAATCTAACTACAGAAACTCAGTTTACCAAACACGTCACTGCAAGACAAAATCTTTAGAAAAGCAGAAGAAAAAGCGACCACCACTCCAATAAAACAGGACCCAATACGAACTAATTAAAACTGATAAGCAAGAATCCGCGCATTTTAACTTCCCTATTCATATAATCAATTCTTTGTACTCCGGTAAATTTTGCAATACGACCAGCCAGCAACTCCACGGTTGTCAAACTGGTACACGTATAGGGTTGGTTGGTTGACTTTTAATGGCACAAAACCTTGAAGGTTATTATGCGCCAGACGAATGCTGAATAAAATCCAAAATGCACAAACACATTGTATCAGATGAATTGTTGAAATGAACCTGTAATGCTGATGAAGGCATGGAGAAATGCTCTAGCAACAGGTAGAGCAGGATAAAATGTAGTTCAAATCATATGGTAAAAAGAGATGTCTTTTAAAAATCTTATGAGGTTTGATGTGAGGGTTTCTTCCAATGAGATCTGTTAAGTTAACATTCGTAGAGTTAAAATAAAATCCACGTTTCTGACTGACAGCAGGTTAAAATGTGATTAACTGAAACGGGAACGTTGCAAGTGCCACAAATAGGCTCATTATCTCCTTTTAAGAGGTACTGACGTGTCACTCTGCAATGACCAATTCGTAGGCGAGTCAGCAGTACATCCTCCTTTCGATTTCCTCTCGACTCCCAATACTCCAAATTGGGTTTTATCTGCCTTAATTTGTTCAGAGTTCTTGCCACCTGGACAAGATCTTTGTTCTGATGTACTTCCGTATGTCTGTAAAAGGAACATCATTTTCAAAGGTAATATCAGCAGATTTTGCAGCAACATCGGTGAGTTCATTGCCTTTAATGCCAGCATGTCCAGGCACCCAGCAGTACGCAATAGAAAAAAACCTCAAACGGAGGTGTGCCTTTAAAATTTCTAAGACCAAAGGGTGGCTAGTATTTGTAATTTATTGATTCAAGGGCACTCAGAGAGTCAGAGTAGATGATGAACTTTCTGCTATTCTGCTTAGAGATAAAGATTAAGAAATTCAAAATGGCAAAAGTTTCTGCAGTAAAGACAGATGCAGCCTTATGTAGTTTAATACTCATGATTTCTTTATCACAAACAAAAGCTGCCCCAACATGATCATGATTCTTTGAGCCATCAGTAAAAATTGCTTTAGTTAGAATGACTGCTTCTATGCTCTAGGAAATTTGTTGATATTGGACGTCATTGGTACTGCTCTTCTTAAGTTCTCCAAAAATGTTTAAGTAGCTGAATATTCACTTCTTGCCAAGGAGCAATACCGAAAAAGTTAAGGGTTTTGGGATGCAGATTTTTTAGGTCCAATTTTTCAATCAGTGAGTGAATGCGAAGATCAAAAGGTGGGATATATGAAGGACGTGCTTGGTAGATCAGATGTCATGAGTCGGGCAGGATGTTCGGCTTGTGACATTACTTTATAATGAAGATCAATGGACAACTGCTTGCGTCTGAATTCCAAAGATGGTTCAAAACAGATGATATATAAACTTTAGACTGGAGATGTTCTGAAGGCTCCACAGCTAATCCGTAGCGCTTGATAGTGGACTGGATCAAATTTCAGCACAGAAGGCCCTGCTGATCCGTACATAACACAGCCATAGTCAAGTTTGGAATGGAATAAAGCTCTATGAATGCGGAGCATAGAACAATGTTCTGCTCCCCATTAGGTATTGGCCAGGACTTACAGTATGTTGAGAAGCTTTAGCATATTTTTTTTTTAGATTTAAGATATGCGGAAGGAAAGTGAGCTTTCTGTCAAAGATAACTCCTGAGAATTTTGCTTCTGAATTCTTCTTCTGCTCCTGAGAATTCTGAATTTGCGGATCAAAGAGCTGTCAAGATGCAGCTCTGGATCAAGATGTAGATTTCTTTTACGACAGAAGTGCACGCAGACTATCTTCTGGCTAGAAAATTTAAAACCACTATTGGACCACTTTATGATTCTATTTAGAGCAATTTTTATTTCTCTCAATGTATCTCAAATCTTGACCTTGACAATAGATCAGCACATCATCAACATACAGGGAACCATGCACTGTGGGAGGAAGTTATCTTAAAATGGAATTAATTTTCATGGCTGAAAAGAGTGACACTGAGCACTGAACTTTGGGGTACACTTTCTTGTTGTACAAATACTTGAGAAAGCAACGAACCAATCTTGACTTGGAAAGTGCGGTCCTTCAAAAGGTTTTGAAATAAGATGGGTAAGATTACCTCGCAATCCAGAATCCAGTGCTGTAAAGGTCATGGAAGATTTCCCATGCCGCCAAGTTCTATCGTACGGCCTTATTCCATGTCGAAGATTCGAAACCACATGATTTCTTTTCACAAATGCATTGCGTACTGTGGTGTCTAAAAACAGGGCGTTATTCAAGGTGAAGGATCTTTCCTTACGGAAACCACCTTTAGGCAATAGGCAATGATTAGTCTCCAGATAGTAGGTGAGACGGTGATTTAGCATTTGTTCCATGATCTTGTGAAGACAGCTAGTGAGCGCGATGGGGCGATAATCTAAAGGATTTTTCGGGTCCTTGACGGGTTTTACTATAGGGATAACAAAGGCCCTGCACCAGGCAGTTGGAAAAATTTCTTCCTTCCATATCTTATTATAAAGAGCAAGAAGGACCACTAGAGATTCATAGGGCAGGTGCTTTACAGTACCTTATAGTATCATCAAAGAACTTATGCCATCGGGATCAGGGAAAGTCCTATCAGTGCGAGATATTACACTTCTTAATTAAAACACGGTGAGATCTTTATTATAAGATTCTGCATTAGGATGGGGAAAAGTCGATTTGAATCCTTTCCAAGCGCACCTTTGTTGGCAGAAACTCTTTTGAGTAATTGCTACTGCCAGATACAGCAGCAAATGCATCACCTAAAGCATCGGCTATTACTTCTCTAGTGCTTATCAACTTTCCATCTTTTTCTAAAACAGAAAAAGAATAAACATTATATAGTCCAGAGACTTTGCGGACTCTTTCCCAAACCTGTTTGCTAGACATTGAGGAGGTAATATTGGACACGTAGGCTGCCCATGATTTTCTCTGACTTTGCCGCCTCACTTTTCTTGCATTCGCGTTGCCTTTTTTAAAGGCCAGAAGATTTTCCGTGTTGGGTATCGGCGAAAGATACGCCAAGCATTCTTTTGCTGTCTCGAAGTTTCATGACAATCACTGTTCTATCAGGGTTTAGGAAGCTTTGGGAAACTTTGTCGAGGACTTTGGAATACAGAGTTCAGCTGCTTGTACAATAGTATCAGAGATAATTTTTACTGCTGTATTAACGTCCACATGGTTAACCATTTCTTCAGTCAGCACAGCACAAGATTAAAAAAGATCCCAATCAGTTTTATCGTAAAGTAAGCGCGGTTGTCTAGAGATCTTTGATTTCCCTGTAATATTTACAATGACTGGGAAGTGGTCACTATCGTAGAGATTCTCCCCTACACTGAAAGAGCAGAAAGCTGATCAACATGCTCATGTGTGGGTAAATAAATGGTGCATACAGAGATTGAAAAGCGTAAATTAATCTGAACCGCCACAGCTTGAAGGGACGTCGTCTAAGGGAGAGCAGTGTATGGGTGATTGTGGGAGGCAATAAGGCCCACACTACCATAGGCACGATCCCCAGATGGGTTGTCCTTTCTTACTGTGGTATATCTCCGTATCTTAGCATGTCTGCTTGGTTTTAATAAGGTCTTCTGAAGTGCAAGGCAGGCAGGTTGATACATGTTGATTAAATCATTGATATTATCCAGGTTTTGACGGAAACCCCAGCAGTTAAACGAAATAAATGCACCCATTATGGATGCTTGTTTTGGCGGTGCTGTTGTTTTGACTTTCGAGGCATCCTTCGTGTAACTTTAATGTTTTGAATTTGTTTTTCTGTCTGCCATTTCGGACACGATCTTGAAAAAGCAGTATGCTCGCCTTTACAGTTTATACACGAGGGGTAGCATAGCAGTCTTCACTGTCATGGTCTACGATGGAACACTGAGTGCACGTGAGGCTACCGCGACAAGGTCTTTCCATGTCCAAAGCGCTGACATTAAAAGCAACGT